TCCAGTTCTGTGAAAAGAAACTACAATTCAAGACTCCTTCCTGTGATTACAGCGGTCAGAAGCAGAAATTTGCAACCTAGCCCAGCAGCCCTTTTTATTCATTTTACACATGACACTTATTGGATAATGCTTGGTGTTAAAGCTGTCCTTTGGTCTGAGGGGAATATGAATTTCAAGAATCTAGTAAAACTAAAAACACTGAAATCCCAGTTTGCCTGTACAGCTAAGTCCTTTCACTCTCGATCTCTGCCGGCATAAAAGAAACCCATAGAGATGGTTTTAGAAGAACTTACAGCAAACTCGAGAAAGACTGGGGGGAGAAAATACCTAACCTGAGAATCCATGTTCACAGTTCTGGGATTTCATCAAACCACAGAGCTCCATGGTGTAAGAAGCCAGCAGCATTTAAACATCACTGCATAAATCCACCAATAAGAGTGTGAATGTTTCAAAGATTAGCCTTAACGCAACTCAGCTTAATCTATCACAGGTACTTAATTGACAGATGAGTAGTTAAAGAAAGGAGATAAACAACTACACATAATTGAAAACTCTTAGCAGTAGCTCACAGATATGGCTATTCATCATAAAACTAGAAATGTCTACTGGCTTAACAGAGTAGCCTTCAATCAAAATTTGTTCTTTACAGTTACTAATGTTCACAAGGCCTCTGTCTCCTCTTCCTCAAGAATGTTTTTTTTTTTTTTTTTTTTTTTTCCCCCCTTACAAATAAGATCATATACATATATATATAGAGACAGTTACAAGCATTTACTGTGCATCTGCCATACCTAATTTCAAGTCACTTACTGTCAGCTCATTAAACAGACAAAACAGGAAATGGGTAAGTTTCTGTAATAAGAAGTAGAATGATTATAAAAAATGTGAAATTCAACAATCCTAACTAGATCAAGCTTGGGTCAATCCTGTACTTTCTTGAAAGGCTTATCTTACTATGCATATGAGCTGAAAACGTTCATCAAGAAAACACCTCTAAATGATTTCCATTGAAGTGAGTTCTGCTGTTAGTTTCAGAAAGTGAACATGTACTACAGTTTAAAAACAAAAATAACTCTTTGTCTTCCCTTTTTTTGACTGTTAACTGCAAGTATTAAAGACAGCATGTCTTATGGTAGCAGGACTGAAGTTGCTAAATCATAGAAACCATCATAAAGTGTAGGGTTTTTTTTTCTAGTGCAATTCAATAGTCAAATGTAACAGTCTCTGTAGGAGAAACAAAGTAACATACAAAGATTAAAAAAAAATCCATTTTGCTTAATTATGTATTACATGAGCTAGGAAATGGTCACTACTACATTTGTTCTGATATAACACCTTAGGAGAATATGAAGAGTTGCTAACAAAAAAAAAATATATATATTTTAAAAGCAGATCCTCATATAATGAGGACACATCAGACCACGAATGTACTTTTGACCTTACTGATAAGCCAATAAGAGTTATATTGTAGAAGTACTGGAAAAACAAATAACATGACTGTAATTTTCTGCATCCCATTAGCTGATATCAACACAGTGAAGGCCATGAAAATTGAAATATGGTTCATTAACTGTGTGTGGGTTTGATGAGCAACTCAGATATCTATGTTTTCTCCAACAATGAAGAGAAATCTTCACTACATAAATCTGATGATGTATTTCAGTGCACAGCCTACCTTCTGTTTAATATGCTACAGATAACACTTTAACAATTCACAAGAAGCTAGGAATAAACAAGGAAGCTAAGCCTCTCATCTGAGCTTCAATCCCTGTTGCTGAAAAAATAGGTAAGTTATTCAACAAATGAAGATAAGGATGGTCTCAGATGAAACTCTTTTCCCTTCCTCAAACTCAGAATGAAACCTTTATTTGCAGATAATAAACAGCTAAATGAATTACACTGTATTTATTCAAACAGAAGTTAGACTGCTGGAACAGATCTTAAGAGTAGGCACCAGACATGCCAGTCTTTGCTAAAAACATAGTAGGAGAACAAGAGGCAATACTTATACCTTGAAACAGGAAAGATCTGACTGGATACAAGGGAAAAGAAAAATAACTGTGAAGATATCAAACATGAGAGCCACTTGCCCAAAGTTATTGCCTAGTTTAAGTACTAACCGCATAAATTACAAAGCTAAAGGATCATATCTGGAGTGTATTTTGGAAAACTCTGTCTCATTTTAAGTAGTAAAAAAGTCCTAATCATCACAGATTTAAATGCCTTTCCCCAAACATATTGTCCTTACATTACTAGATATTTCCTGTGTTTAAGAAAGAAATAGTATATTTTTATATTTCTTCTAGTAATTTCAATTTAAGACTTATCCCTTTACATTATGTACAGAATGGATTGTAAAGTTTCACCACACTTTGAACCATAACCCATATTTCAGAAAAATAAAAGGAGAAAAACTTTGCATCTTGCTCAATTACATCAGACAAAACAATGTGAGTGGAAGAAGTGAAAACAATTGATATGAATACTAAGTGATGTAATTTTTTAGAAAAATTATTCTCTGATATGCTTTTGACCACATTACAAAATATACTGTATATATTCATGTGAGAGAGATGTTTAACAGAAGTTCAAAGAGAGTAAAGTAGGTTTGTTAAAGGAGCTTGGGAGTTTTCTGCAATGATGCTCTTAACAGTAACATCTTTATGCTCTGGAAGAGCATAAAGAGTTTGTGCTTCATCTAAATCATTATTCAAAGTTTATGGAAACCTGCCAGGCTTTTTTTTATGGATTGCTTCAACACTTGCAAAGTCACAAACAATGAAGAAATATGCTGATATTAACAAACTCACTGAAGAAATACTGTACACTACCACCTGAATAGTAGAGTTTAAGAGACAGCTGGAAGAAAGTCAAGAGAAATGCAGCACATGATCAGTTATTTCATCAGTAACACTAAGTACTCGGCATGCAAACTCCAGCATTCAGTGAAAATCCCATTTTCCACTCAGTAGCTAAAATAAACATACTGGCTGAAGAAACAGAGACATAGAAAGATGTATGCATGTTTCTTTTGAAGTTCAGCATATACTAGATACATTTCCCAAAAGAGTTAATTCACATAAAAGTCATTGCTGATTTGATGCCAATGGCAGTTAGACCTTAAACAATCTGCTGAGTAAGCTCAGAAATTAAAGCTGCCTGGAGCCAAATTGAAGTTGTTTTTCCCTAGGATTTAAAAAAAAAAAAAAAAAAGGGAAGAAAAGGAAGAAAAGAAAGAAAACAATCTAACAGCCATTCTTATCTCTGCTTTTCTATTTGGCAACATTGGTTAAGTATATTCTGTTGTGGCAATATAGATACAAACATGGGTATGACAAGAGAAAAGTATAGCTTGATTAAACAAGAACTGCTAGGAGTATGGGAATGGGGAGGGATGCCAGCAGCAATATGCAACCTATAAACAACACACAATCAATTAACTGGCTTCTGTTAGTTCAGAAAACCACAATAGTAACAGATATCTTCATCAGTAAATAACAGATTCCTTTCAGTAAATGGAGGCAAATGCAGATGAAGAAAAAGATCTTTAAGCTTGTCTGTATAAACTGAAGATATGAAAACTTTAAAAAACTTTAATGACTTCTAGCCTCACATTATAAGCTTAGTCACATTTGGCATGACATTCTAAACATCGAAGTCTAGTCTTGGCTGACTAGACTTAGGCACAAAGCCAAAGGAAATGGTGAATCACTCTGAGTCTCATCAACCTGATACTGTTAAATCAGCATAAATCTAATGAGGAAAGAAGTTGTTTAAGCCACATAAAAATTACCATTTAATACTGAAATGAATTCAAATTTCACTTATCAGTACAGTAATATCTTGGTTAAATTTAAGTTGTTGTTATTGTAATCGTTAAATAGTTTATTTAAATAATTTGAACACAAGTCTAACACCAGTGAATACAAACAGCAATAAAAAGTCCAAAGAGAACAGTTATGTATGGCTGAACAGTTGCTTGACGATTAAAAAAGATTGACTGTCTTAAAAGAGATTGAAGCACTGCTAACAGTATGACTAAAAAGCAGTCAAATTACTGGTATGAATAGAAGCTTTTCAGACTCATTTTAAATTGATTGACACAGCTTATCTGTATTATCTCACCCTGTAATGCATCCAACAGACAAAACTTAAGCAATTACAGAACAGAAAGCCTTCAGCAACTGCACAACAAAGTCTGTATTACTCTTTCATAAAGACTTGAGTGTAAATTTGAGAATATCTAAACAATTTACAAACATATCTACAGAATTAGAACCTTATTTACGCTAGGAAGAGACCCAAACAGTTCGAATTACAGGCGAAAGAATTCACCTAATACTCTCCAATATAAGCAACAGCCTTGTAAAAAACTAACACCTATGTAATAGGCCATCATTGATTATCTTCATATTTTCATAATTACTAACTACTAAACACTAAAAATTTATGTACTTGTGATATATGGTAAATATATCGCACCACATAAAAGTCATCAGAAGGCAAAAAAAAAATAAAATAAAAAAATCTAATGTGCTTACAGATATAAAGACTTCCATAAAAGCATATTAAGTAGCTTGAGAGCAAAACAAAAAAAATTCAGGATATTATGTGCTTTTGAATGTCTTCTGGAAGTAGAAAAAACAGCTGCTAGTATTGTATGGTCTTGAAACATAATACCTGTTTCATACTTCATAGCAATGCCATTGTTTCTTTGTAATTCATACTGATCTTAGTTTAATATTAGGAAAAAACTAGAAAAGATGCTTAGCTTGGGATATTTTAAAAAATGAATAAAGGTAACTAATTTGTCACCAGGGCAAGGAGCGGATGTCCTCTGAATGAGGCCAGAAGCTTTCTCCATGCAAGTATCATTTAATTTACTTCAGGAAGATGCTAAAGAGACCTGTAGTACTGTCATCTCTCCTTCCAGTTGGTAACTCTATTCTTTATGTATTTATAGAATTATAGTATCCTTAGTTGAAAGAGACTTCTGAAGGCCATCTAGTCCAATTCCCCTGCAATGAATAGGGACAGCACAGCTAGATCAGGTTGCCCAAGGCCTTACCCAGCCTCACCTTGAAAGTCTCCAGGGATAGGGCATCAGCCCCAATACTAAGTAACTTCACCACCCTCACTAGAAAAGATTTTTTCCATATATCTACACTAAACCTACCCTTCCTGAGCTTGAAGCCATTTCCCCTTGTTCTATTGCCACAAATTCTGCTGAAGAGCCTGTTCCCTTCTTTCTTGTAGCTCCCCTTTAGATACTGAAAGGCCACTATCAGGTCACCTCACAGCCTTCTCCAGGATGAACTGCCCCACCTCTCTCAGCCTATCCTCAAAGGAAAGGTGTTTCATTCCATGGATCATTTCTGTGGTCCTCCTCTGGATACTCTAACAGGTCTATGTTGCTCCTGCACTGAGGACTCCACATTTGGACACTTTCAGGTGAAGCCTCACCAGCACAGAGTAAAGGGGCAGAATCACTTCTCTCAACCTGAAAAGCAGACTATATAGGTAACTCTCTATTTCCCTGAGACTTCCACTAGCTCTAGTTCCCATCCTATAAGCTGTTCACCCTCCTTGTCTTAAATGTATACGTCATTATGCAGCAATTAGACAGGTCAATACAATGGGAAAAGCATTACAACAGAGGTATAATGACAGAAGAACTGGTGTGACAGAAAGATACTATAAATGAAGGAAAGATTGCTCACCTGTATCAGAAGATTCTAGATTCACAAGAAAAAGTTTCCCCAAGGCAAGATCACCAAAAGAAATCCTTCCCCAGTGATAGTCAGCCCTTCAATGAGGTTTAAGAAAGGTGCAGCCAGGCTCCACACCTGCTCACACAGATGAATTACCTTCGCCTGTGCTCCCAAGGCTGACCAGGTCCTTTCCCCAGGTGATCAATCAGTGGTTCAGGCCACAACTTAGCAGTTCCCATAGATATTATTTGCAGTGCCTGGCTTTTAAGAAATCCAGTATTAACACTCAGGAAGACCCATCTCAATTTCATATTCTTTTCCTTACTATCGTACAATGTGTCTTAAATCTGACTCATATTTTGGTAGGAAGACTATTTGCCCATCTTTTAGAAGTCTTCTCACACAATCACAGAATTGTAGTAATCTGAAGGGAGGTCATCTAGGTGAGACATGTCCAATTTGTGGCCTGGCACAGCCCATCTGCAGATGACCCCTGCCTTGTGCCATCATGGCAGCAGCTTTTCCCCTCTGGGCGTCCTGGTCTGGCTCCAGGGTGCACCCATTGCTCAACAACAACCAAAACATTTTGCACTTAAACATCTGTTACATTTCATATCCCAGAAATTGGAAGGACTAAAGTCATAAGGACAAAAAAGAATGATGTGGCTACACAGTTTTCATCTTAATACCTTTACTTTCTACCTACCTCATGTGAAGCATGTAGAATATGGTTTTCCTTTTATATTAGCAATGTAAACTTGGAGATAAACCAATCTATACAGGGACATATATGACAAAGTTGCCTGTGAGAGTGATAAGTGGGAGGCTTCTTCCTGTCCCTACAATCTGTATTTTATGAAAAAATAAATCTCAGAGATAATCATTTTAGAAGAATGTTGTTGTTTTCCCTTCAGTAAAGCTATGCAGCACAAAATAAATCCATTCTATATGTTTCAGGAATACTCATTCCAACATGACTTGTGAATTATATTGAAAATAAAAACTAGTCATGTTAGAGTAAGCTCTATTATTTCATTACAAATACATATATAATCAAATGTATATACATATATCTCTATATAATGAGGCAAACAACAATATCCCCTGACCTTTACAAGTATATTCTGAACTAAATCTCTTGAACAAATAGGCCTGTAAAACACTCTTTGAATAAAACATTAAAAAAAAAGTCAAGAATGAGATCTGTTTTCCTGTCCTTTCTCTCCTTCATAAATTCCCTTGTGCTATATAAAAAGAAAAATTTATTGAAATTAAGAATACATATTAAATTTTAAAACAAAATTAATCTTTGTAAAATGAAGAGTGAACCACTTTTTTACCGTGGACAATAAAAAGATGAAGAAAACTTATGAAGATGATAAATTATAAGTTATTTGCATAAGCCCTGCAATGTTATACCGTAATGACTGTCTGCTTGTGAGTACTGCATATAGTATGGACGCCACAATGTAAGAGGACATGAAACTATTAGAGAGCATCCAAAGAAAGGCTATAAAGATTGTGAAAGATGGTCCTAGAAAGCAGTATATATAAGGAGTGACTCAGGTCACTTGGTTTATTCAGCTCAGAGCAGAGGAGACTGAGCGAAGGTCTCATGGCAGCTGTAGCTCCCCACAGGGAGTGCAGGGGCAGATCTGAGCTCTGCACTCCGGTGACAGCAACAGGATCAGAGAACAGTATGGAGCCATATCAGAAGAGGCTCAGATCGTTGTGTCAGGAACAGGATCTTTGCTGAGAGGGTGGATGGGCACTAAAACAGGCTCTGTACGGAGGTGGTTCAGGCACCAAGACTGCTGGAATCATAGAATCATAAAATTGCTCAGGTTGGAAAAGACCCTAAAGATCATCTGTTCCAGCCACAACCTAACCATACTACCCTGTCTCTAAAATCCTCTGCTGTCCCTGAGCACCACATTCAAACAGTTTTTAAACACATCCAGGGATGGGGACTCAACCACCTCCCTGGGGAGCCTATTTTTTTATATGATCCTTGTACATGTAACAACTGGTCCTGTATTGCTTGGAGACCTAAGTGGCGAATATCCGTATTCGTTTTGCATGCTGCTACACGTATGCTACTGCAGGGAATAACCTGGGAAATCAAAGAATTAGGTCATATACTAGACCTTTTGTGTAATCTTTTCATGGTAGATTTTGTTTGGATAATTACAAAGGAAAAATTATTATCCTATATTAGTTCTTGCTATGATTTTTTTTTCCCCCTGAGCACACTAGGGAAAAAAAAAAAAAAAACCAACCTTGGAATTTTATTTTTACGTATATCTACATCTAGTATTAGTCGTTTGCATGATATTGTACTATAAGACAGAAATTCACCAAGTAGTGATAATATTTCTCCTGCAGCATGTTCTGCTGCTTTATATTTGTATCCTGGCAAGGTTAGTAAGATATATGATATATTATCATCATAAGGTGATGGTAACACCCACAAGAGACATAAGAATTTTGCCATTTATTATACTCAAAGTCAAATAATTTCCTTTAATATTACTATAATCAACATTTGACTAGAAAAAGCATTTATAGAAAAAGCATTAAAAAAAAAGCCCAAAGGATTTCTAAACCTATACAGCTATCAAGAGTAACTAGAAATTAAAAAAATAAGTTTTTACAAAGAAAAGCAATATATTATAAATTGATTGGATGACCCCTCCATTTTTTGCACATAATTTTAAAATAAAGGAAAACAAACAAACAAAAACTTTCAAAGTCGTTATGCAATGTAAAATTAACTCCAAAAATTATAAAGAACATAAAAGCACTAAAAACAGTTCCCATTAGTAGTGAAACTGAATGTAAAAGAATGGAAAAAAAGGGAAGATTTGGAAACTCTTACAATCTCAACAGTATGCATGTACAAATGAACTAAGATTATAGAGAAATATGCTGGGGGATATTATTGACTGCAACATCAAGATGGAATATTCTGTTTCATGCATAGAATTCACTTATAAAGAAACCTATGGTTTAAATCAGGTTTGACTGAAACAAACCTTCTGTAATTTTCCCAAGGGAAAAAAAAAAAAACACAGCAAAAAAAAAGGACTACACACACACTTTTAGAATGCAAATATTTCCTAAGAATTCAAGTTTCTTGCAATGAAAGTCCTTCTCCCTCTGTCTCCTCATATCCACCTTCCTGATGTAAGATTAAAAATTAGCCTATGAATAGACTGGAATAAAATATTACCTTGAGCGCAGGAAAATCCTTTCAGCTAGTGTTTTAAAGTAAAAAAATGTATATTTATACATAAAAAAATCACTGAGATTTCATCTACTAGAAAACAGTTCCAAGACTTTCACTAGGTCTGTAAGCACAAGAAATGTTGCATAAAAATGAAATTACGACTGAAAGGTTAAGATGCACTGAGAAGGAAAGTGTGCATGATCTTCTAGAATCAGATTCTTGTCTGACACTAAAGGAAAACAACAAATCAACTCAAGGAAAACAATTCAACAGATCAGAAAGTATAGAGAAACACTGTCATGTACACTGAATTATCTATGTACTTGAAACCATTAAAATCAATCTTCTTTTAAAAATTGTATAATGAAACATTTAATGCAATTTTTCTCCTATTTATATTATAATTATTCTTAGCTAGTTGAACTTAACCTTTAATTGAATGCAACAAACAATTTAAAAAGCCTGATTTATTGCACTTTGAAGTGCAAGAAGAAAAAAACTTTAAGTATAAATATAAAATGCCCTTTTCATTCTCTCCAACTAAAGAATCTCATTTATTATAATTAATGCTGGAAAGTTACTTTTGTTGAAGTTATTTTCACATTAATGGTTATTCTGTTGTCATATAATTATCTGCTGCAAGTTTCTTCATTCCTTATTACAATTACAAAAATTAAGAAGCTGCAGCTGTGTTGGCTCATATGTTTCTGAAAGGTCTTCAGAAGACATAGAATTTTTAAACTTTTTGAAAACCCAAACTGAAGTATGAACCTGCTTTTCAGAACTACTAACAGGCATCTTCACAAATGCACAATTTGTCATATTGCTTCTTGTTTTGAACTTGAAAATTACCATAGAATATACTATCATTTTTAATCAGAAAGCTGAAAAAAAATTTTAAACATACACAAGGATAATTTAGCATTAGGTTACTAGTGTTAGCTATTATTCATGTGTGACAGAGAGGTAATTATTCCTTAAGCGTACCAAATCATTCAGCAAAATGATCGTGTTACATTGGAATCAATAGCATTCCTATAGTATTCCTTAATAGAAAATGCTACTGTTCAAAAACTCTATCTTTTAGATATCTAAGATAACATCCAAATTCTCCTGAAAGCTACTACATTATGAGCAAGTTTGGAGTTAAAAGAACAAAAGGCGTTTCACACTAGAGCCAGTAGAGTAGCGTAAGTTTGTAAACTTTCCACACTATTTCCAACATACTCCCAGGCAGTAGATATATTTGCTAATATTAAAACTTTTGAGGGAAAAACAAAACAGAACAACAACAACACCAATAAAAAGAAAACAGCTAATCTTGGAAAGGGTCAAAGCAACTCCACCTGAATCAAACATCACCACTTCCATTCTAAAATCAACATGATAGGCACACACAGTTTAGCTTATTTAATACACTTTTCTCATTTATGGTGGAATATATTTACTGAGGAAAATGAATACTTGGTGCCATATCAGGCCACTGAATATCCTTTCCCTCAGCTTCTGTTTTTTTGTTGTTGTTTTGGTTTTTTTTTTTTTCCTTTGTTCGCAGTTACATGCTTGGAAAACCCAATGAATATAGAGATTCTCTGAATAGTGAGAATAGTCAGAATACAAACAGAGCATCCAAGCAACACGTGAAACTAACACACCTGAAAGATTCAGACCTTGCTAGCCTTCCCTTTGAAAACCTTACTTATAAAGAATTTCCTATTAATTTTTTGAAAAAGGTTTTTGATTAACAAATTATTTCATCGATTCATACTGACTGCACCGGAGTCTGTCTCCTGGTATCTATTTCAATTCAAACTGATATGAAATCTTAAGTTGGACTCAAAGGTAAAAGATGCCTATTTCTCACCGATGCAACATAGCTATGCAACTGAATACATTGCAAAGATTACTACTTTGCTACCTGAATTGCTGATTAATCCTTGATTAATGGTTTCCTTATCACTTGGATGAAAATATCATTTTATTTACCTCTAATGAATTTCCAACTTTTTTCTGTAAAAAGCTGCTTACCATTTATTATTCAAATAAAAGTTGTAAAATCATTTCTATTTTAATTTTCTACCTTCATCAAAGGAAGGTAGGAAGAAATCTCTACTAAAGTGATAAAAAATAATTTTCTTTACTTGAGTAGTAATTGCAAAGATTTCAGTCTAAGTTCAGATTTCAGAAACTAGAAAATGCACTACAACTTTCATGTAACTCTGAACAGCAGAAAAGCTGAGAGAAAAAAAATGAAATAAACAGTCCTCTCAAAGTTTTCCTTCAAAATAATAGAGAGTATCCTAACAAATCTATTTTTCTCAAGTCTTAAAGGCATATCCATTGCATTTTTGCCAGATTTTTCATAATGCAATTAATCACAGTTGTCACTGAGCTCAGGAGCATTTTGAGTAATGCTATGAGAAAAGAAGTCATGCTGTTCCAGAACTGGTTGTATACATAGCTAAGACTACGATTGCTGTTGGAAGAAAGAAATATAAATAATATTTTGCTATTGATCATGACCTTGTTTTATAGCAAGACAATATCTAAATGTAGTAATTTTTACTTGTCACTTCAATGAACTACAGATTCTTCTTCCATGCTTTCTATGAGTGTCTTCTGGGGCTTACAGAAGCATCACCTTACAGAAACATTGTTATTTTTACTGAAGTCACAGCTCCAGGACTAATGACAAATGTATTAGGAATGAGACACACAACCTTATATTGTTTATATGCTCTACTGAGGTCAATCTATTGCTTGATGTTTTGTTGGTTTTTGTTTTGGTCTGTGGTTTAGTGTTTGTTTTTGTTTGGATGTTGCTTATTTTAGATGGAGGCTTACCATGGCCTCTGACATTAAGATTCTATAATGTACGAGGAGCTCAGCAACTGGAGGATGCTGCTTCATGTGTTCTAACACACAGCTGGTATTTGGATCAAAGTGTCCATAAACAAATAAATATTAAAAAATAACGGCTTTAGCTATTTCCTATAATTCTATATAGGCACCGACAGCTTTAGTTACAGCATAGTGACCTGTTACCCATCAATAATGTCTACCTTAATAGAATAGATTCTACGTAAGCTGATTTTACTGTCTCAGCATAAAGTATAAGAGAAAAATTGCTGCAAAATGTAAGGCCTGTATGCCTTTAAGGATGGAACTACATTTAGCTATTTCTAGCAAGTGTAATTCCCTTCTTCACACAGTTGTTACAGCAGTGTGGATGAAGTTTTAATCTAACTCCTTACAGTTGAAATTTAGAAATACTGTGTGCTTAAATACTTCATCCCTTGTGCAGCCTATAGTTCCCTCTGAAAAAGAAGTGATTATTGTAGTACTGTGTAAAGGAAATTTTAGTCTTATATGGGATGTGGAAAAGTAAAAAATAACTCAGATTTAGACTCTCTACAAGAGTTTTTGGCTTAATTGCTGCAAATGATTAATCTTTTCAGGATTAGTAGAGGAAGACAAGTCCCAGAAATCCCTCTCAATGCTCAAGATACTGAAGATTTTGAGACCAGATTTTTAGGTGAGGATTCTCTCTTCTCTGAGAATATGCTAGTGAACACAGCAGAACCATTAAAAAAGGTACTTTTATTGCAAGTCTCAGTGAGCTACAGGGGTTTCCTCATACGTGATTGTTCTCTCAACATTTATTTGGGAACTATGCTGTACACATATGCATACAATTAAATAAAGATTGGATCATTTATCAGAGAGATAGTCAAGACATTTGGAAAATCACGACACAAAAAGATGTTAAGAGATAGTTGTGAGAGAAAATAATCAATACAGTAAAATCTAGAAATATGTTTCTTACAATATGAGAGCAGAATTGGCTAAAATTCTTGAGCCAAATTTATTCCATTCTGATTGTTTCACACTTTCTGAATAGTGAATAAATTTACTTTCAGTGAGGAGAATACATTACTATAAAGTATCATCATTTTCCAGAAGACAACACCATTTTTTTAATTGCAGCAGCATTACAAAAAATATTGAGTTGATCTGAATTTGATGGTGTTCCTT